AAGCACTCTGATGGTACGTCTACACTAGCTCGTTAGTTTGAGCTAGGTAGGGTAATGAGGGCAAGCGGAGTTGCAAATGAAGCCCGGGATTTAAATATCCTGGGCTTCATTTGCATATTCCCGGGCGCTGCCATTTTTTAATCCTCCTTAGTCCGAACTCCATGCCCGCGGCTACACACGGCACGGAGTAGGTAGTTTGAATTAAAGATCCTAGGTCTTTGGAGGAGGGGCAGGAGTCCTCAGTCTGCCTTTATCTGGCTGTAGTCCATTGGTTTCCATATGGAATGGGAAGTACTTCCAAATTTAGATCTATGGGATTATTTTACTACAGAAATGATCTGAGGTCCTTGCGTCCCTATTTGGTCTGCCAGGGCAGATGTTTTCCCTTAGATCCTGCTGTCATTTCAGACCTGTCCACTGAGTTTCATTCAAGGGGGAATGTCTTGATTCCTTTCCAAATTCCTGGATATTTTTTAAGACTCAAACTTGCTCTGGGTAATACTTTGACATGACTAGTGTTAAACCCTTCCTTAACAGCTCCCTTATACCCTTCAGGTTTGCAGCAAGCCAAGACCAGTTTGAGGAAGGAATTAAAGCAATTCCATTGATGTTGGAGGAAGTTTAATATGACACCTGTTTTTATTCTTGTTTGCCTGATGCCCTAGGCAGTGCAAGCTTTGTTTCTTCTTTGTTGTTCAGGGTTAGTTTGGAGCTTAGTCATTGTGTGAGTGGGAGATGGAGCAGCTAGAGAGATGAGGCTTGAACCATGCATAAAAGCTAGGAGAGCTTTGTCTTTGTAGGTTTATAAGAGCAAGTTAGATAGTCATTTTACAGGGATGGCTGGATAATACTTAATCCCATTTTGAGTGCATTGATTGACTAGACTAGACGATCTTGCGAGGTCCCTTCCAGTCTTACTATTCTAAGATTCTATCTTTGTTCCAGAGGACCTTTGTGGATAAAGCAAAACACGACATAGAATATCAATGTTAACTTTTACTGGGGACTTGAAAATTTCTTATTTGCTGGAGTCAGGAACATAGTCCCAGGGGCTCCTCTCTCTTTCAGATGCACACTATTTCCCAGTGTCAGTAACTCGACTTATACAAAGCAAAACTAACCAGCTGCAATATTTGTCATCACTTAAATCTGCCAGTGAGACCCTTCAAAATTTGTTACATATTACATAAGTTTACTGGAAATTATCCTGACTATTCTTTTCCCTCTTGGAAGGGGGAAGCTGCCTTTCTAACACGGCCTCTGCAAGCTGGGTCTACAATATCAGTGAATAGATTGCAAGGAAAAATTATGACCGCATGAGAGAAGCTGGGACTCACATTAATTATCACATGAAATGGTGAAGGCAAATCTGGCAGAAGAACTAGTTTTCTAACTACTTGTTTTTTGACCCCTGCTGTTCACTTTATTTACAGAGTTTAAAATAATTATTTCCCTCTTTAAGACATATAATTATTCAGCATTGGAAATTTGTAGTTACAGAGATACCCAGTTGTTCAGATGGATTTTTTCAAATGCTAGATTGAGAAGCATGTATGTGAGTAGTCGTTAATGCAACACTCATAGGTACAATATCACCAGCAAAACTTTTTATAGCAGAGTCTGCAATTTCTCAATCTTTGGGGGAGCAGGCAGGACAGAGGCTGGGACAGGTTAGAGATGGTTGTCATGGGCTCCTAGAATCTGGATATAATTGTACCACTGAAGTAAAGGAATTTGGGAGTGATTTTCCTGCTTTTGATGGAGTAGCCCCCTTCCCTTTATGCTGCCAACTCAAAAATTTGATATTGGACTGTTCAGTCTAGCACACAAAGGTATAACAAGATCCAAAGGTTGGAAGTTGAAGATAGACAAGTTCAGACATAAGGCATAAATGTTTAGCAGTGAGAGTAATTAACTATTGGAACAACTCACCAAAGGTTATAGTGGATTCTCCATCACTGACAACTATTAAATCAAGATTGGATGTTTTTTTTTAAAAAAAAGATACGCTGTAGTTCAAAAGCAATTACTTGGAGGAAGTTCTGTGGCCTGTGTAATACAGAAGGTCAGACTAGATGAATTACAGTCATCCCTTCTGGCCTTAGAATCTATTAATCTATTTTCTCCGTCACCTTGACCTGTGGACACTTCCAGCAAAAGCGTTTCATAATTAGTTGGTTCACTTCTTTTGCCAAATGGTGCTGTCTCCTTTTCTGGTTATGGGGAAAAGGTTTTAAATGGGGAAAGGGGAAGATATAGTTTTCTTAAACCCTTGCCCCTCCTCTCTGCATCACACATAACTGAACACCAAATTTCTTATACACTAAGAGGCAAAGTGTTTGTGGGAGCTTCTTGGAAGCAAATCAGTGAGCCGAAGATTTAGTTTGCTTAATGAATAGAGAGGAGCTGCCTGAACCTAGCTGCCTTCTCTAATGCCAGCCAAAGAGGAAAATGGATGAAAGAGAAGTGCTATAGTATGAAAGGGTATGTCTAGACTGCAAGGCTATTTCGAAATAGCTACCTCTGGTATCCCAAAATAGCTACCCCGCATCCAAGGAACGCATCTGCTATTTTCGAAATAATGGATGTGCTATTTCGGCATCCCTATAAACCTCATTCCACAAAGAATAGGGGATATCTTGAAAAAGTGCTTTATTTTAATATTTGACGCCGTATAGATGAGCCAAATTTTGAAATAGCCAATGTCAAAATAAAATCAAAATAAAATATGCAATTTGTATAGCTCAAATTGCGTATCTTTTTTTAAATTTTAGAGTGCAGTCTAGATGTACCCTCTGTGAAGTGTGCAAGAGAATTCACTATTGCTATTGAATGTTCATGAAAGGTGCTCAGACACTGTGGGCAGCAGCCTAAAACCGTAAGATAGAGGCATATAGATTTGTGCCTAGAATCTGGAAAAGTGCAGTAGAGTCATTAAGGATGACAAGGAGCCAGGGCCTTAATTTTACGTCTCATTTGAAAGTTGGCACCTTCAGCCACATGAACTCCTCAACATAAGTCTTGTTCATTGGATCAGAGAAGATGGACTTTAGTTCTGAAACCTTCCTAATGAATAGGGCTGGAATCCAAATGCCAGTTTAGGAGTTCCAAAAGGCACTGTCATTGGCTTTTCTTTAACTCTTAGGGAACATTGCCTTGTACCAAATCACCAAAATCATTTCCTAAAAAGCCTGTCTCTTTCTTGGTTATCTCCTGATCTCACTGTGTAAATGCTGCTACTTTAATCAATGTAACCATGGTCCCAAATTCTCCCATCTCTTACACTCTTGGAAATAAATGGGCCAGATGTTCCACTGGTGTAAATAAGCACCTCCCTACTAAAGTCAATTGAATTATTTCATTTTACACCAACTGAGAATCTGGCCCAATAATTCTGTGTGGAGTACAAGTCGGGACAGAAGTCAGCACAGCATTTGTTTGATGTAGATTGTAAGGCCAGATAGACCCATTAATAGATTCAAAAGACTGGACAGGGCCTCAGGAGGTTGTCTAGTCCATCCTTGTGCTTAGGTAGAACCATGTAAACTTAGACAGTGGTCTCCAAGCTTGTCATGCTCAAAATGACTTTTTGAATGTAAGGGCAGCCCAGGATCTACCCTGCCCCTTTCCTGAAGCTCCACCCCACTCACTCCATCCTGCCCTTCCATCACTCATTCTCCCCGCACCCTCACTCACTTTCACTGGGCTGTGGTAGGGTGTGGGCTCTGGGTTCAGCAAAGGGGTTTGCAGGGTGGGAAGGGGCTCCAGGCTGAGCCTGGGGCAGGGGGTTAGAATGGAGGAAGGCTGAGGGGTGCAAGCTCTGGGAGGGGGTTTGGATGCAGAGGAAGCACTGGGTTTGGGTTAATTATTGGGGTGCAGGAGGGGTTGCAGACTGCTGGTTCCTAGAGAAGGGTCAGTGCTGGGCAGGGGTTTGAGGTACAGGAGGGGATGGGGGTATTAGTTTTGGGAGGGAGCCCCGGGCTGGGGTTCAGAGTGCAGGAGGAGGTATAGGGTGCTAGCTCTGTTGGGAGGCTGGGAGTTGGGGTGCAGCCTCCCATCAGGTGACATTTACAGTGGGCGGCTCCTACTTGGTGGCACAGTGAGGCTGAGACAGGCTTCACGTCTGCCCTGGTCCCACTCTGCACGTAGGAGGGGCCAACGTGCCCATGTGGCCCCTGAGGGAGGGAAGTGAAGCATACGTGGCTCTGTATGTTGCCCCTCGCTGCTGGCCCTGCCCCCTAAGCTCCCATTGGCAACAATTTCCTCTTCCTGGCCAATGGAAGCTGTGGGGGCAGTGCTTGCAGGGAGGAACAGGGCGCCAAGACTTCTGACTGCCATGCTGGATACTGCCCGGAACAGCATGGGGTTGGGGCAGGCATGGAGCAAGTCTGCCTGCTGCACTGCCAGAGGTCACGATCAACAGGATTGACCAGTTGATTGAGCTTAGCCAGTCGGTGACCATTGACCTAGATCATCCATGATGTGTGATTCCATGCCTTCCCTTGGTAAACTGTTCCAACATTTAACACTCTTGGGAGTTAGAAAGTCTTTCACCATCTCTAACCTAAATCTCTTTTGCTGCAGATTGAGTCAATTACTTCTTGGCCTAACTTTGGTACATGTGGAGAACAGTTGATCCCATCTTCTTTATAACAGCCCTTAACGTATTTGAAGACTGTTATTAAATCCACTCAGTCTTTGTTTCTTGAAAGTAAACACACCCACCCTTTTAAACCCTTTATAAACCCTTTTGTTACTCTCCTCCTGGACTCTCTCCCATGATCATTTAGTGTGGCCTGTGGAAAAATGGTGCCTGTGTCCAGTCTGTGTCAGAGATCAGCATTCTCTGTTTGAAATTTTGAAAAATGTGGACTGCAGTGGAGGCTGGAATCAATGTATCCTTAAAGACAATCAAGTTGAAAAGGTGTAAGAGACAGATGTGAAATCATTGCCTTGAGTTTCACCTCTCCACTGAAATGTCCTCTTATGTCTTTTTACAGCTCTGGAATGCCCCAGCTCTTACACATACGAGCACTGTCAAACAAACTGCACAAAGCACTGTGAGAATGGCACCAGCATCAGTGACTGCAAAGATTTTCCCATAGAAGGCTGCTTCTGTCCACCTGGAAAGGTGACTTTAAATAGTGAGTGTGTTGATGAGGAAGTCTGCACACAGTGCATCGCTGAAGATGGAACACGCTATCAGGTAGCTGTCCAGTGACTGCTTATCCACAGAGTTGTGTGTGAGAGAGAGAGAGAGAGAGAGAGAGAGAGTGTGTGTGTGTGTGTGTGTTGGCAAATGAATCTATATCTGATAAGTCTGGCTTATTTTTCCCTTCAGACATTTTTTTTCAGTCTGCTTCCTCATGGCTGGCCGGCTGTCTGCCCTGTGCAGCTCCCCCACTGTGAAATTGGCTAGGCTCAAAATAAAATTCACAGCTGGAGCTGTTGAGACCAGGAAAGAAAGACA